CCCCTAAGCTGTGGATCTGCCCAAGAAACCCAGGAATGCAACCATTTTCTGTGAGACTATTTGTAATGCAAATGCAAACAGCTTTTTCATCATGGAAGTACCTTCTGATTCACCTGAAGGGTTATGCATGTTATTCTGGATGAACCAGGCTGCACAGCACTTCCTCCCTGTGGCAAGAACCAATTCCCAGCAGGTCAGTAACTCCTGCTGACAGCAAAGCACCACCTGACACTCAGAAGAACCTCTCTGAACCATCATGATGAATACAGACTGGAATGGTTGTGTGAACAGGTAATACACCAAATACACAGGTTTTCCTCCTGTGGGATGAAGTCAGAGGGATTCATATATGGATAGTGACAAGGCCTTTGCACAACTGAGCAGAGGACAGTGAGGACAGATCTAGGAAAGCTGAATGAGTTACCTCAAACTGGAACAAAAGACTATGGCTGTTATCATCTAGATAGTTTCATCAAGTCATGGTATGTTAAGGGGTTGGAATGGCCCTTAGCAATCATCCAGCCCCAACCCCCTGCCCTGGGCAGGGACACCTCCCACCAGAGCAGGTTGCTCAAGGCTTTAGCCAACCTGGCTGTGAACACTGCCAGGGTTGGGGCAGCCACAGCCTCCCTGGGCAACCTGGGACAGCGTCTCACCACCCTCACTGCAAAAACTTCTGCCTGAGATCTAATCTAAATTTTCCTCTCTCAGTTTCTCCCCATTCCTCCTTGTCCTGTCACTACAGATGTCACTAGCAAGGCCAGAGCTGGAGTTCCCCCATTAACCTGGAGGCAGGACAGGAGAGCAGCACTGGAGCATCTCTGTTCCCTTGACACTCACCCATGCTCCCACGGCAGTCGAGGATCTTGAAGCCACTCTGCATGCAGGCTGCCAGCAGCACAAAGTCACACGTGGGATGCCACTTCAGCCTCCAAACTCCACCTTCCACGTGGGTGTCAGCCAGTGGCTGCTTCATGTTTCTGGTGTCCCACAGCAGTACGTGCTCATCGTAGCTGCAGGCACACCACAAACAGACAAGCAACATAGCTGATTCAGGGCAAGACACAGAAGGAAGTTAGGACAGATCACTCTGCACCACAGGGAATTTCTGGACCACTCCTCAAGTAGCAGCAGCATGTTCTTTAACAGAGGAGGCTCCAGGGAAAAGCAGCTGGAAGGGACTTACCTGCCTGTAGCCAGGAGATTCTCCCGGTGGGGACTGCACTGGATGCTGCACACACCCATGGAGTGTCTGCAAGAGAGGGAAGAGACAGCAGTGTACTATGTCAGAAGAGATTCTTCCTTGAATTTCAAGGATTTTTAATTTATTGAGAAAAGGTTGTGTGGAGACCTCAGAGCAACCTGCCAGGAGCTGAAGGGGCTCCAGGGAAGCTGCAGAGGGACTCTTGGTTAGGAACTGCAGGGACAGGACAAGGGCAATGGGGAGAACTGAAGAGAAGGAAATTTAGATTACATCTCAGGAAGAAGTTTTTGCAGTGAGGGTGGTGAGACACTGTCCCAGGTTGCCCAGGGAGGCTGTGGCTGCCCCAACCCTGGCAGTGTTCACAGCCAGGTTGGCTAAAGCCTTGAGCAACCTGCTCTGGTGGGACAGGGGGTTGGGACTGGATGATCTCTACGGTGCCTTAACATTCTGTGATTCTGTGGATTCTGAGTCCACATCACTGCATCAAGGTGTCTCAGGAGAGGAGAGTAAGGTAAACTTAAATCTCAGTCCAGTGAACCACCCAAGCAGAGCTCCAGCCACACAGTCCAACAGCCTTCCCAGGGCAAAACTTCTACTCCCACAGCCTCAGCACAAGTATCTTCTAGTAATATTTACACCACAAAATGCTGCTCAGAGCCCCTAAGAATTTTAGCAGAACAACTCCATTCCCAGGAGACTTTACTCCCAACATTAGCATTTCCATAGCAACAGTCCCCAGTGTATTTAAGGATACATATCAAATTTCACTGGAGAATTTTGTGTATTATTTTAATCATATTTTAAAAGACAGGTTCTGTCACCAGAAAAGATATCACTTCAAGTCAGTGAACAGTGGAGAACAAAGTATTCTCTAAAAAACATTTCACATTTAACACACACACAGAAAATCCCCAAATAAAAGTCTAAGTCAGGATCCTTTTAGAAAGAAGCTGCCACCACCTTCAGGTGTAGAAGTCAGCACTTGATTACGTTGAAGGACACAGAGAAGAAAGTTTCAACTTGAAGTTGTCCTGATGAAAAAGTTAACAGATGCCTCCCTTTGGCAGAGGAGGCAGAACCAGGACTCACTGTCACTGCATATCTCTTGAGTTCAGAGCCCTGGGAAGGGACACAGCAGCACCTTGTGCTCACACATGATCACTGAAGGGTCTGGACATGACTCACCTCCTGCTGATGAAGACTGGAACTTCTGGGCTGCACCTGGTGTCCCAACCCTTCAGCAGGTTGTCATCTCCTCCTGCCCAGGGACAACACATTGTCATCCTCAGCACCAGTCAGTGACAAGCACACACTGAGGCAAAGAGTTCACCCTTCAGCAGCTTCCTCCCGAGGGGCAGTGCAGGGGCAGCTCTGAGCTCTGCTCTCTCTGATCAGTGACAGAACCTGAGGGAACAGCTGGAGCTGTGTCAGGGGAGGGTCAGGCTGGCTATCAGGCAAAGGTTCTTCCCTCAGAGGTGTGTGGGCACTGAACAGCTCCCCAGGGCAGTG